GGAAGCGCTTCAACACAAAATGCGTTGCCTTCTCGTCCCACCCCAAAACGCCTCCAAAAGGTTGAACCATCCCAAACGGGACCGCAGCCCCCGAATGTGCAAGGACAATCCAAGATGGAAAAATAGATGAGCCGAACATGTGCTGAGAAGAGGGTGCACCTCCCTCCGCAGGGGAAGACAACTGTATAGAGAGGTTGCACTCAGTGGTAAACGCTTCCACTTGCACCTCCTTTGCTAACGAAAACACGTTGGAACTTATTGGGAGCATCTGGGCTCAAAGAAGCCCTCCAAACCGCCTCCGGTTACAGCTGCCTGACAGCTTTTCCGAATATCTTGGCTTTGCTTGCGGTAGCCGAGTCGTTACGGACTTCTTCATGATTTTGCCACAGATTTCTTCATGATTTTGCCCTGCGCCAGTTGATTTGTACCACAGTAGGTAAGAGCTTCTGTCCTAGTTTTATCTCTCTCATGCTTGGCTTCTTCCTATGTGCACCTCTTGGGTAAACTTTCTGAAGCCGTCCAGTTGGGCAGGTGGGGGCTAGCTGACAGCAGCTGGGCTAAACATTGGGTCAGTCAACAGTGTTCCGGTCTTCACAATAAAATTGAAGCAACACCATTTCTAGAAGTGCAGTGCTGTCCTTTGATCCTGTTTTGCGCAATAAAACCATCCGGTGACTAGCGGGGTGCACGCCGGTCGACAGAACCGATTTTGAGGCGCGAAGGAAGATTGGAACAAAAGGTGCTCGTAAATGTTGATCCCTGTATGCAGTAGTGCAGTTGGGACCCTGTATGCAGTAGTGCAGTTGGGAGATCCATGGAGCTTATGGATGCGTTTAGCAATGAATACTTCAAGCTTTATCGGAAGTCGAGCTGAACTGGACACGAAGGAGTGCGCGATCCGGCCGAGCCTATCGAATGGAGCTTCAGTATTCCTGGAACCACTCACTGGTGATCACGCTACTGCGATGTTAAGGAGATATCCGCAAGAGACTAGCGTGAATTGTTTATTGGCTCGACGTCCAGACACTCGAAGAAGTAAGGCACCGTCGTGGGCTAAGACTTGCATCCTAGAGGCGCATAAGGGTCTCGGCACTCACTTATTGGTTTCTTGACCCTGCTGAGATGGACAGCAAGTGCTTCCGTTACAGTGGAAACTTGTGTTTGTGGTTGTGGCTGTTGTGCAGTAGTCGAGGGCAGCAAACCTGTTATGCTGAGCAGTCCCACGGAAACACGGTACTTTAGGCGTCCTAATTTCTAGG